ATTTATAAGGATAAGTAGGAAATTACTATAACTTCTTTTTGTAACCAAAGTAGATAAATTAAATGCATGTCTGTTACTGAAATAAAGAAGTACGGTTTCCTTCTATATCTAGTGTAGAGAAATTGTATTTGTTCAAAAATTAGAGAGGAGAAATTAAATTTGAGACGGTAAATTGAATTAAAGAAATATTACAAAAAAAATTATCTGAATGGGTTTCAAAATGAATTAAGCATAACTGGTTGGTGTTTTACCTTTGAAATAAAGATAAAAATGTTAATTTACTCTATGCAAAAATTTTCGATTTTAATTTTTTTTTTGAGATTTTACATAAAAAAGGTTAATTTGTAAGAATTTAATAAATAAAATGTATGTATATAAATTCACACGTGGCTTATTGTGAAGCAATATTTATCTATGTTAAGTTCTCGTTTTCTACAGAAGAATGTTCAAACTGCGATTTTCATTCATAATAACGCTTCACAACGTTTCTGTTAAAATTTCAAGAATATTTTTTAAATTTCTTCTTAAAAGAATAAAATAATGCAGCTGACTGCGTTTTACGAAACAACGTCCTCTGCCTGCTACCTTCTTGAAAGTCCAAATGTTGTGACACATGATATTTATCTGTCTCCAGGTATTTGTATTTCGCTTTAATCTGTGCTACATAACTTGGAAGTTCAATGTTTTTATATTACTTTGTTGTGGCAACAGGTTGTTAAAGAAAATACAAGTTCGAACTCCATCCGATAAAAGCAAGCGTGAAAGAAATCAAAAATAAAAACTAAAAAATATGTATGTATACAAACTTTTAGCCTTCACCTTGCTTGGTGGAATTCCTGTCGTCCACCGTGTGGCGCTGGCTGACGACCGTGAAGAAAGCAATGGGCGGAGGGTAAGCGAAAGTCTATCCCAGGGTCGACCACCCACGTCGCTAAAATGAATTTACGCGCAAAAAGGGCGAGGTCCTACCCCATAACTTGGGCTTTACAGTCGATTTCACACCTTTGGGATGAGGTAATTTACAGTCTATTGCTTGTCGCCTCGCCTTGCTAAGCTTACACTTCCTATCTCACCACATTTTCGTTCACCACTTTTTTTTTTTCCTCCAACAGAACTTTTTTTTTAAATACATATTTCTGAGCTGTCTAATTTCAATGAACCTCAACACAGTGGGTTAGAGGTCGTTCTAAATTAAAGGATCTGGAGAATTTTTGAACGCTTTAGAACAAAAACAAAATGATGCTTCAGGTACTCATTAAACATGCGGGCAGCGAAGCCTCTTCCATGTCATCGGTGATTGGGGGAGGAGAAGATTTTGAAAGGTTGAATGACGTGAGATTTTGTTGGGGTTGCACTGACCGCAACTAACAGAAGATTTCACCCAGTTTGGAATGCCCATAATGCTAGCAGTTTGGCCACTAATAAATGGATTCAGAATAATAATTAGAAAAGCTGAAAATTTAAGTTTAGAAAACGTGGAAAAGTTCAAGCTCCCGGGAATTTTACTTCAAGAATGAATAAAAAAAAATAAAAATAAAGTTATATAAGGTTATTAATCTATGCTACATAACTTGGATATAAGGATTATGATCATAGTATAAGTTATTATAAGGTTATTATGTAATTTTTGTATCTGTAAGAATCTGTGCTACATAACTTGGATATAAGGATTATGATCATAGTATAAGTTATTATAAGGTTATTATGTAATTTTTGTAAAAGGTTAATTTAGGCTATTATAAGGTGGATAGTCAACATTATAATTTCTAGAAGCAATTGAAGTTAATTTTTATATTGTTTCGAAATTTATGTAATGTATCATGAAGTACTTCGAAAAGGCGAAGCTCTGTTGGAAAGATAACATTTCAGGGACAAGTCTGTTTAACATTAAGGTAAATAGCTATCTCGTTAAATTGGCGAGATGTGGCAAAGCTGGCGATGGTTTGGCGACTAATTTTTGTGGCCGAATTTCACAACAAATCGCCAAAAGTCGCCAAACTTGGCAAAATTGCGTCTTTTTTTTCCACAATGTAAGTGAAGTGACGTTATTGAACTCGAGCTTTGGGAAAAACATAACCTTGTCTTTCTACTGACCTTGTTTTGAATAGCATATATTCTTTTGTACATAAAAACAAGTCTCGAATATAATGACATCATCTGCTATATTCTTGTTATCCCACGCTGTTTTCTTGTCCCTTTCGTATTTTTCGTAAATAATTTTATTTTGGGTTAGTTGTTCGAGGTAGGTAAAAAGTTTTTCTTCAATCCGCAATACACTTATTTAATCATTTTTTAAGTAAGGCCCTATTAATAAGCAATCTCTTAGTCCTCTCTCAGTTATTTAAAAAATAAAATAAAGTTATGAATTATTAGTGCAAACATTACATTTAAATCACACAGAGCAATGAATGTTTTTAATTCGATGAATAAATTGGATACCTTGCGCCAGTTCTAAAGGCAGTTTTCAATGTCAGTAAATAATTGAAAGTCTCATACATTCACAACATTTACCAGGCTTTGTAGGATAATCGTAATGTACAGTAACATAATGTACAGTGTCTTTTGCGGATTTGAGGTTCACAAAATGCTCACCTCTGTCCAAGGAAATTTCTAATGTAAAAAGTACATAAACATATACATATTATTTTAGGAGGTTCTCTCGAATAAATTTTAAATTTCTAATTTTTCAAAAGTATGAAATTCACGAGGATGACATTATAAATCCTTTCAGCGAACAACATTGCCTAACCTATCCAAATCGATTTCTTTTGATTCACTACAGACTGAAGAATCAATTTGTTCAAGCTTTTACCAGAATTAAATTACGGGAAAGAAATCATTACTTAAGTTCTTTCATAATTAATATCTTCATCTGCAGCGCGGATACAAGACATATTGCTCTGCAGAGTAATCCATAAAAATCTGCTCTCTTCAAGGCAAGACCTCCAACAATTTCTTTACCCTAATTTAGATAGCTTAACATTAATGAATCTTGAAAGAATTTCTTTAAAAAAATTTCATCATATTCAATAGAAAATAAAAGGCTATTATATTTCATAATATATGGCCTTTCACCACGTTATTGGATATTATGTTTCTTCCACTAAGAACAAACTTGGAACTTCTTCAAATTTATCGCCTGTACAACACAGTTACGAGATTAAAAGATATTTCTATTTAAAATTACTTTCACGCTGGTAAATATTTCTTCCCTGTGTGAAAAATATCATATGCATCGTGCATTACTTTTAATTAAACCGTTAATTAAAATATTGATCGATAAGAAATAATAAAATTCACTTTGCTCGCAAAACAAAGCTCTAAAACTATCATCAATCATTGTGCTTAACAGCTTTAGGGCAGAAGTCACATTCATGCCCAACAGCTTTGTGACCAACAGAAGCTAAATTTTGAAAAAAAAAAATGACGTTAGTTGAGAGGACTTTTTCATATTTATTTATTTATTTTACATTATATTTTAACATTAAAGTTCTGTTTGAAAAATAAAAGAAATTGTTTAATTTATTTGAAAGGAACGGCCAGTTGTTAATAAAATTTTGCTGTGCGTCCGAAGTTTTTACAATATATTGCTGAGTGAACAGTAAAAGAGCTTTTAACATAAGAAGGCAGTAAGGCTTTTGAAATCTCTCATCATATCCCCCTATTTCTATTAGTATATATATGTATTGAATTTTTTATATTAGAATATTTTTGGTCTAGCCTAACGTAAGCGGCGCTGTTTAAAGTGTATCGCGAGGACTGCTTTTACAAAAAGAATTTTGGAAAAATAATAATATATTTTGTATTTAAAAAAAATAAATGAAGCTTCCGAGTACACTTCTCACATCTCACGTCTTTAAAAATGTGATTTTGGCAACAATTTTCCTGTCTTATGGTTGTTGATAGATTTTGATGAAATCGCATCATTTTGAATAGTTTCATTCTTTTAGAAATATGGGTTTGGCAACAATTTTTCATCGTATTTCTTATGTCACTGTTTTTAAGAGATTGGCATATTTCATTGTCATTTTTTTACATATATAATACATTTTTATTGATTTTTTTTTTGGTAAAGTTGTTCTGCAGAGTAAAATTCTGCACGAAATTTTATGTTTTTTGAGTTGCTTTCATGTTATTTTTTGCTTATTTCACTGTTTGTAAGATATTAAAAAGTTTTGCATGATCTTTTTTTCTACAACGGAAAGTTGGTTAATTTTTTTATTAAGATAATTAATATTTGTATTAAGGGATATAGCTTATTTCATTGTAATTTTTTTTCTCTTGAAAATATAAGATAAAATATCATTAATTATACTTTACTTTTCAGAATTTTTTTTGTATTCTTTTATGTTATTTATTGCTCATTTGACTGTTTTTAAGATATTGAAAAGTTTTGAGTGATTTTTTTAGGAAGCAAAATTTTTAACCTCCTTTATACCATTTGAGTTCTTAAGATTTTGCAAAGGGAAGTTGGTTAATTTATTTATTAGGATAATTAATATTTGTATTAAGAGATATTGCTTATTTCATTGTAATTTTGTTATACGTAATAACTTTTTTATGAAGTTGTTCTGCAGAGTAAAATTCTACGCAGTTTTTAAATTTAACGTTTGGTGTTCCCTTCAGTCATTTTTCCGGTACATTTAAAAGCCAGACGAAGGCTGACAGCGAAGCTGCTAGTAGTATATAAACCGAAATACTTCAATGCGTTTTACCACTTTTCAGATTGCTGCCACCAAATATTATCGCCCTGTATTATATTTAAAGAAATCAAATAATGAAGATTCTACATGAATGAGTGTATGCATTTTTGATTAACAAACTCAATGATTTCAAAGTCAGCAGTGGCAACACTATGCTGAAAAAAAAAAACACTTTATCTCCAGCGCGCGAGATTATCTATTAGAAATTCAAAAGATATGCTGTTTTTAAGCATTTTATGATTTTTCTTTGAATTTTGTTGCTGTTTTAGTCTTTCAGAATGTTTCAACTAATGCAAAAACTTCATGGATTTCTGTCTGTGAAGCTATTAACTTAATTCATTCAACTGAAAGCGAAATTAAGTTGTTTGCAACAAATTCTTAAGAGATGAAGATGAAATAGATCCGGTATGTAATCATTGTTGAATCTAGTGAACTGCGATATCACTTATAGTACCTGTATTCTATCAAAAAAAAAAAATGATTATTTCGTATGAGTTTATATATTGAACTTTAATTTTGTATTACTTTAACCTTTTGATGTCATCAGCGAGCTCGACTCGTATTCCAGTTACGCACTTCAGTTGGCGTAAACGAACACAACTTGCATCACAAATTTACTACAGACAGAAACCGCTCGTATTTGGGTAGAAAGAATTGTTTTATCTCAAAAGCGCGAAGAGTTGAGAAATATTTGTATTACTTTGCGCTTTTCTGAAACATAATTGTTTATATTTTATATGCTTAATGATTTACAATAGAGAAATGGTATTCATAACTTTAACTATTATTATTCAAAAATTCTATTGGCTTTTGTTTAAATAAATTTGTTTGCTTTGTTTATCTTATTACAAATTATATTTTTGATAAATGTTTTCGATAAATTTTTTGGGTTTTAATGTATTTGTGTTTTAGATAACACTTAGACAACTAGTAACATTTTGTAAATAAATTAAAAATATTTCCAGCTTTATGAATATGATTATGATACATGAATATGATAATGATTATGATTATGAATATGATTACGATTTTGGTACTACTTTGGTAGACGGTTGCACGGATTTACGTTGGCGCAATTGTTGGCGCTATTTTTACAAACGTCAGCCATCCTGAAATCGCTGTTTTTACGCATAATTAAGTGTTCGAAACTTTAAAAAAAAAAAAAAAATCGTTGAAAGTAATGGATTAATTTTTTGTTGAAAATGTCGTTTTTTAAGATGGCGGTGTGGTGTATTTAATTATGGCAAAGCACACTAGGACTATCTGCCTAAGGGGAGGGATGCCTTTCGTGGAGGACTTTCTAAGGGAAACTGGCTCGTATACACGTTACACACGGGGAAAACCACGAAAACGCCCATGCAGCCAGCCCGTTCGCGGGATTCGAACCTCGGACCGAACTACCAGTGTTCAGCGTCTTTACCGCTCGGCCGCTGGTGGGCTTTTTAAGATGGCAGGCAAGTGTAAATAAATACATTTACTATGAGTATAATTTACTAAAGTAAGGTTATTATTACTTTCATATGGCAAAGAAGAGAATAACATTGTGCCAACGTTTAATTAGATTAAAATATTACTGAAATTGAATATCGAATTAAAAACCATCATACCAACATTTAAAAGAATTAGAACATTACTTAATTCAAATACTTTAAAATACGTTATATAGAATATAATTAACATTAAAACATATGGACAATAATTATCTCAGCAATTTTTGAAAATAGTGTATTAATTTTTTTTAACAAAAATTGAAGTATACAATTATAAAATAAAAGAAAAATATGTACTTACATTTTTTCAGTCATTTAACCTGTTGTTTATTGATAAGTACCACAAAAAAAATCGGAATCGTAATTTAGATAACATCTTTGAAGGATTTCGAAGATATGAATTAAATTTTAAAACGCCGCGGAAATGCACAAATTGTCAGTAACTAATCAGGGAGCTGATTACAGCTCGTTAATGCACAAATATTCTATAACCAATCAGAGAGCTTATTACATCACGCCTATAATTAAAATTATTTAAAAATTCATACATAATAAAATCATTTTTTAAAAAATGCAAAATTAAATTGTATTTTAATATTTAACAGCCATAAATAATGTTTAAAACATTAGATTAAATTTATACATATTAAAACCAATTACTTTCAAAGTAAGGTGACGTCATTGATTACATCATCCACAACATAAAATTTCATAAAATATGATAAACAATAAAATTTTTATTTCAAATACAAATTAAAATTAAATTGATTTTTAATATTTAGAAGCCATAAATAATATTTAAAACACGGAATTTATGCGCAAAAAAAAACACATTATTTTTTAAATAAAATGACAAAAAAGTATCGGTTACCATAAATAACTTATCCAGCAATGGGTTACCATAAGTTATATTACTTGCCAAAAGAAAATCGCCAAAAAATCGCCAAAATCCGTGCAACCGTCTACCAAAGTAGCACCACGATTTTAAAGTCATGTTCTTAGTATAAACTCATCAATTTCTGTAAAAACATTCCTTAATGCAGCATTTTTTGTATTGTGGGTGGCAACCCCATTGGGATCGCAAAGCGAAATGTTGGCTTCGCAGTAATTTAATTCTGATGCATGAATTAAAATAACAAGTTCTATTAATATGACTTTTAAAGAAATTTCTACTTGTACATCAGTTGGCTTTAATGAGATTAATAACCTGCGATATAAAAACCAAAAGGAAATTTGGTGACTGGATTCTGGGTCGGACTACGATTTTAAAATGTGAATTTACAAAATGTCTGAAAAGACGTGAAATGTTTTTCTGCCTTTCAACCACCACATATTTATGTGAAATGACTTAACACTTATTAGACTCAAGTGTTCTTAAATTGTGAAAAACGCTGAAAATACTTTACGTCTAAGCAGTATCAAATATTCCACCAAGGTTTTAGTTGTTTTGCAGAAAAAACAAATACATCCGTCTCATTAAAACGTGATTTTCTTTCACAAATTTTAAACACTTGAAACATATCCTACAATTACTTCTTTTCATACGCATACTATTTACCAAAGAAATCAATTATTTTTGAGAAATTACTTATTTTCATACCATTATTTTATATAAGGCATCTAGAATTGCAAAAAAATCTCGAAAATAAAAAGGAATCATAAATGAAAAATGTTTAAGAAATGCTGGAATAAAGTATACTAAATATGCGTATTGTACGAAATGTCCAGACGCGGTAAAGTAGCTTCCCCGCAAAGCAGGTTTAGGGTTGCCATAAAATTCAAGGAAGGCAGGGTAGCCACATTTGGAAATCGCCCATTTAGTGACATTTGCCGACAAAATTGGTGATATGCCATAGACGGATAGAGAACCTTTTCTGGAACGAATTCTTACTGGTTTAGCCCTGAATATTTTCGAACAAGCCAAATGCTATATAAACCCTGCTGGTACGCGGAGAGTTAGCTAGTATCGAGTTAGTCAATCCGTTAGTGAGTGAGAGTACATCGTGTTGATAGACAGTCAATGAGTGCCAAGTAGATCGTCGAGTGTGCCTCAGGAGTCTCCTAGTGTATCGCGGTTAGTGCATCGTCGAGAGAGTGTGTTGAGCTCCGAGAACGACTGAATCGAGGAAGTCGGGAGCTGTACTCTTGTGTATCGTCGAGTGCATCGCGTGGAGAGTCTCGAGAGTACGTGGAGTTCCGAGAACGACCGAGCAGAGTCGGGAGCTGTACTCCGGTGCTTTGCAGTGAAGCTGTCTCCATCATTGTAGCATGATCGCTTGGAGGGTGTGTCGCCGATCGTTTCAGCATGTTTATAGTACTTCTTCGACGACTGTAAAAACGTGATTTTGGAGCTGTCCTGATTAATATAGGCTAAATAAATTGTGTTTCGATACTTCATAGAGTGCTGTTCTCGTTATTCTCTCCAAATCCACCCTAACCCCCTAACGAACGTAATGAAGAAAGAAAAATAACGTAACAGTATTTATACTCAGTACAGGGGGAAAACAGTTATATTATGTCGATTGACAATATTTAATTTGTGTTTTTCATGGAAAAGAAAAGACATGTCAGCCAAAAAATTCGTATTTTGTGTCAAAATACCTATAAGAGCAATGCTATATATATAAATCTAATATATATCCAAAGTTGCACTTTTCAGACGTGAAAAACGCAAGTTAAATTTCGTCAATCGGCTCTGTGGAACATGAGGTATAGAACTGCCACCTCTCTTTTTATTGTGAAGAGTATACAATAGAAATTGGTTTACTTAAGAATGTTTGAGCATTATATAAACTAATGCTTATTCTTCTTTGTAAAGCTTTATATTAAAATAAGATGCATACATTTTATTTTATTTGTGCAAGCTTAAATTTTATTATCTTTATTTCTAGACTCCTTATTAACAAACTTCTATAAAATTAGTGCAAAAGGCAAAATAAGCATACTTTTGATTTTTACTTTTCTCTTTTTCGCGTTAATTTAATCCTGAAAGTTTTGTTCTAAAATGCTGATGTATCAATAATTAATTAATGGCTTGTGCAGCAATTATTTAAAGCTCTGGTTGCGTTTAATCAGTAAAAATTTTTAACATTTGGTAATTGAATTTTGTTGATGTCGGTATCTATACCGAGGAAGGCATTTTTATAATGTCACTGAGGAAATGTGGGAATAATATTTACGAACTCGATATTTCTCGGCGATGAGTTACATTTCTTTACATTTCGTTATTATAGCAATGCAGTAAACTTACAACAAATAATAACGTATACTGGTATATTGCTTATGTTATAAACATAAGCAGTACTTATGTTATAAGCATTAAAATAGTAAACAGCGAGGGTTCAATGATAACGTATTTAAAAACAGCACACTAAAGAATAGAATTGTAAATCAGTTTGATTCGAAGCTTAAAAATCTGATTTTATCAACTGTTTTATGAGAGCGAAAACTTTTGATTTAAAATTGAATATGATCAATGAATTGTGCTTCTCTCAGTACAGTGTAAACTACATGGCAGCTTCGTAACATGAAATATTTATCTAATTATATACACCAATGCAATATGGAAAATTCAGATTACTTTCTGATGTATCTAAGAGTTACTATTAAAGTTTCAAAAAGGTAAAATGTATATTTGAAATTTAAAGATATAGTTGCGAAACACCCAGCTGCAGTGGGATAGCTAACTGCAAAGCGGGGTTAGAGTTACCAGAAAGTATCAGGGAAAGTCAGGGCTGCCAGATTTGCCGCGAAAACTCCCCACTTCGCGATATTTGGCGACATAATTGGTGATATATCACAGACGGAGAGAGAACATTCTACAACGCATTCTTAGCGGTTTTCCTCGGGAATGTTCTCGAAGTTAGGTTAAAGTTATATATATACACTGCTGGTACGCGGAGAAAGTGGTATATT